TATTTTTTAAAAGGTTTAAGAGTTTAGAAAATTGTTAGGAACATTGCTAGAGTGTGGGAAGGGTTTAAAATGAATTTATATACAAGTACTAAAATAAACTACTACTTACTACTACTACTACTTGTACTACTATCTCTACTTTGCAGTTTTTCACTTATCGCGGTGCTTCAGGGTACAGATCCCCCAGGATAAATGAGGGACTACTTTACATCAAGTTTCACGGTTTTATCCAAAACAACAGGATGAATGGATGTCTTGCTGGTGTGACTGAATGCAAAACCTGAATTGTATTGCTCAAAAATGTTAGTTTATGCTCCCTTAAAGACTTAGTTCACACAAGACTTGTTTAAAAAAAAAAAAAAGTCTAAAACTAAAAACTGCTTCATGACATATTGGCACTGTACTTAAAAAAAAAAACATCTAAACAAAATGAAATTCAATAAAATGCTTGAACAGCTCAGGATATTACTTACAATTTAATGATTTTAATCTAATTTATTCATGCCCATACAGACTGAAACCTAATTTAACTCATGTCCCGATAGATTTAATTTGTATTTATATTGAAAAAAAAAGAAATATGGAGAGGTTTGTCTTTTAAAACTGCATGTAACTTAGCTGAAACGTGTGATTTAACGTAAAACGCTGTGTAAGCACATTTCAGTCTTCTATCTCTTAATTATGAACACATTACTACATGATGGTTGAAATTCACAGATGTGCAGCACTACACACACACCCTCTCACACACACTGGGATCTGACAGGCTGTCTGGGGAACAATGTCAGACTGAAATCAATTTTCAAATTGCTAGCTGATCTCACCTCATTAAAACTACCAAATTAAAGTTCTCCTGCATGCTCAACTTTCAATAATTAACCCCATGCCTGTCTCTGACAGTGACTGAACCGATAACAGTCTGTGATATAACATTTTAAACCAGTTGTTCCCTCGATTCGCCCGCTGTACATTGTGTCCATACTGCTGACTGTTGTGAGTGTAGTGGTTTTTCAAATCTGCTGCACCCACATGCAGTCGCAAGGCTGAGTTAACTTGACATATTGTCATCACAATACTATAATGGGACTCAGTCCAACACACACTAGCATCCACAAGTTGACTGACAGCTCTCACAGAGAATGTCGAGGCTAACCTAAGCTCTAAACAATCTGAACAAATGTAGTCTGATTAGTATACATGTGTAGTGAAAAGTGAGAGTCTGCATGTAAGAGCTAATCTGATTAGATTTGATGTAGTTGTACAGTAAAGTATTAAATGACTACACTTTTTTTTTTAATCACCTTGTAAGGAAAAAAAAAACTTTGGAATCAAAACATCTATCAGTTGGAGACGGTATTTGTTTCCCCATTGAAAATGTTCATGAAAGTGTGGATACATTGCTGCAACTGTTAAAGTATGTAATTAAAATATGTAAGTATCCAGTCACAGCACAGTCAGCAGTGTGAACACAATGTGCAGCTGGTAAATTGAGGGAACAACAGGTTTAAAATGTTATATCACAGACTGTTATCGGTTCAGTCACTGGATGGGGGACAGAATGTTTCTCACTTTAAGAAACTGGTCCAGATTAAATGATTTAATGCTTTGTGTTGTTATCTACCTGGATGATTGAGCTTACAACCCTTTTTCAGAACCACTTTTGCCTTGGTGTCATCAGGCTGTTTCTGTGAGTAGCACGTTGGTCATCTGTCCTAAAACATTTGATTGTTGTACGTGATGATTGATTGTTTTGGCTGGATGTGTTTTGCTCACGTTAAAGTCTGCTTTTGAGATTCCAACAGGAGGTTGGCTTGAAACACAGCATTGAAGGAAGGCTACCTTTGGGACAGATCTGGTTGGCAGACCGTAGACTGACATAGGCCTGTCGCAATAAACAATAAATCAATTATTTGCATGATAAATGAAAATGATCAACCTCATTTTCATTTATCGGCTTTATCGTTTCTTCATGTCTCTTTCTTTCTACTGAAGACACTGGATGACAAAAGGCTCAACTCCGGTGCTCTTCGTTGACCCCTTCCTTCTTCTTTTCTCTTTAAAATCCATTTTAACCGTCCAAAATCAGGTTTTTGGATCGTTAAAAGCAGCTAAGCTGAGAAGCTAAGTTACGAGATAAGCTAACAGGACGACCTTGGGAAAAAATTAAAAAACTCCATCTTGTCGAAGCTCCAAAGTTCTTGGTTGAAACCCGTCCCTTCATGTAAAAAGTAGTTTTTCTCTACAAAAAGAAGCTGAGAACATGTTTACTGTTTTTTTTTATTGATTTTTTTTATTAGCTTTGTGTGAAACATGCTATGCTAAAAGCTCAAACCACATCGGGCATCCGCCATTTTGAGAACCAAAAAAAGACAGGAATGAGAGAAAGCCCGTGTCATGTCAAGGGGACTCCCTCCCATTTTTCATAAAGAGACACACTGCTCGCTCACTCACTATCCATCCTTTAGTTCAAACAGTCTTATACTGCTATCCGGTGGTCAAAAAAGGTGCTGCACTAAAAAAACAAAAAAAAAACAACTTTTTTTTTTTTTGTCTTAAATTTGACATTAATTGCTAATTATTGTCAAATTTCAAACAATTTTAGGTTTTAGGTTTATCTCAGTAATTTCTGAGACAAATAATTGCCCAGCAAAATGTGTTATTGTGACAGGCCCAGACTGACGACATCCTCTGGATGGGGGGACAAAACATTTCTCACTTATAGAAACGAGTCCAGATGACACAATTTAACCTTTTCTGTTGTTATCTACATGGAGGATTGAGCTTACAACCCGTATTTTATTGTGTGTGTGTGAACTATTTTTCCTGTTATTTTGACTTATGAAATACAATAGTAACCAAAAAATGAGTGATACAAAAGTTAGTATCATACGATTTGTTAAATGGTTTTAACTTGTCAGAAACATGTGGACTCACAATAGAATGTATTATATTTTACTCAAAAAGTGCTGACTCTTACTCACGGAAATGGCAAATGTAAAACTATGCATATACTATATATATATATATATATATATATATATATATATATATATATATATATATATATATATATATATA